CCTTCAGCATAGCTCTCAACCACTCCTCGATTCATAATTTGTTCAGTCTTCATTTCCCCAAAATATTTTCACTCTCGCTTTATATGTAGTATTTGTTACATGTTACATGGCGAGATCTCCATCCAAAAGGATTAGTCTGCGTCATCTGCGTCATTACTTTGTATTATACAACTTCGGCGGGTAATATTTCTCATCAATCGTGAGTCCATTACGATCCAATCTCTGCTCAGCATCTTCAATAAATACATCATTTAAGCTCTTCCTAGGCCTGCCTCTTGATCGTTTCCCATGCTTGGGTTTCCATTCAAGTAGATAGTTAGGTAACCGATCTTCAGGCATTCTACTGACATGTCCAAACCAACGTAGCCGTTTTGTTGCTATTATGTCAGTAAGAGCAGTTATTGAAGCCCTTCTTAAAACATCTTCATTTCTTACTCGATGGAACCACCTCACTCTCAGGATTCTGCGTAAGCAGTACTGATGGAAAGACTCTAATCTTCTTGTCTGCACTTGAGTCGTGTTCCATATCTCACTTCCATAGGTCAGAATGGTAAGAACAGCTGCGATGTAGATTCGCACTTTGTTGTTAATGCTTATGTTCTTATTCTTCCAAATGTTATTGAGTTGGTTAAAAGCTCCGGTTGCTTTTCCAATCCTGACACTTATTTCTTTATCGATCTTGCCATCCGATGTAATTTTGGCACCCAAATAAGTGAATTGAGTGACCTGCTTTGCAGAGTTTCCATCGACAGTAATATCTATGGTCCTATTCTCTGGGAGTGGGTGCTGCGACGTATCTTTCCCAATTACCATGATCTCTGTTTTCTTTGCGTTCATCTTTAAACCCCCAAGCCCACAGTATTTCGCAATATTGTCCGTTGTTTCTTGCAGTCCCTCGACAGTGTCATCCATGCCTGCTATGTCATCAGCATAGTCCAAATCAATGACACATTTTTCCGGTTGTCTGGAACTTTGTCTGTACTGAAGAGTAAAACCACGCGATATATTTTTAAACTTCTCGGCAAGTTCTAATCCCCAGTTAAGTACAAGGTTGAAAATGGGAGGCCCTTGCACATCACCTTGTCCAGTCCCCGAATCGACATCAAACCATCTTGTCAATTCCCCATTGACACGAACTGCACTTTCAGTTGCTCTAAAGAACGCTTTGAAAACATTGATGTATTTTGTTGGAAGACCATAATGTTCAAAAGCTTTCCAAATAAAGTCACGATTGATTGAATCAAAAGCAGCTTTAAAATCAATAAAGTTTATATACAAAGGGACGTTGAATTCTATACAATTGTGTATTATACAATGAAGGGAGTATAGCTGATCTATACAAGAACGGTTTCTCCTGAAACCACACTGATTTTCTCTAAGTAACTTTTCAAGCCCATTACTTAGTCTTTTTAACAACACGATTTGAAATAACTTCGATACGGTGGAGCGTAGAGTTATCCCTCTGTTGTTGTTGCAATATGTGAGGTCCCCTTTCTTTGGGATGATGGTGATGATTCCTTTCCTCCAATCACTAGGAATATCCTCACTTTTCCATACAGTTTCAAACAAATCTTTTAACCAAGGCAGACGTCCAGGAGAACCGTACTTTAACTGCTCATTTGAAATTTCATCAATTCCAGCACTTTTGTAGTTCTTCAACTTCTTGATAGCTTCCTCAATTTCAAACAAGGACGGTGGCTCATCATCATTACTAAGATATTCAAAAGAAAGTACCTTTTCGTCCTCATCCAATAGAGAGAAATCCACCGCATCTGCTGCTGGCGTCAAGAGTTCTTCAAAATATTCGGCCCAGCGATGTGACTGAGCTTCGGGATCTGATATAAGTGTCCCATTCTTATCCCGCACTGCCGCAGATCTGTTTACTCTCTTGTTTGTAAGGGATTTTATTTTCTGCCAAACATCTCTTTGTTGACCCTGCTTGGCAGCCTCTTCCAATTCCTCAGCTACTCTAACAGCCCAGGCATTATCATCTCTTTTACAGTTCTGCCTAACAAGACCGTTAATGTGCGAGTACTTAGCACGATTCTCAGCAGTACTAGGTTTCTTTTTAATGTCACCTCGTTCTTTTAGGAGATTCTTAGTATCCTTTGAGAGATGTTCTGTTCTCTATTTACGGCCCCTTTCACCCAGAACTTCAAACGAGATATCAGTTATAATGTCTCTCAATTTCTTCCATTGTTCTTCTAAAGGAGAGTTTCCAAGCTCCTGATCGTTGGTATAGTATTTTTCAGCTATTTTGTTACTATATTCCTGGCTCTTAGATCTATCACGCAAGTTCTCTAAAGCAGGCTGTCTTACACGCTTCTTTCTTTTCTGTGGACACTTAAGCTTAATAGATACATATCCTCTTACCAGGTAGTGAGTAGTATTTATATCTGCTCCTCTCATGCTCCTGACATCAAGCAATGAATGGCTCCATCTCGTCGAAATACAAATATGGTCAATTTGAGTGACGGTGTTACCATTTGGGGATCTCCATGTTGTCTTGTGAATATCCTTGTGTTCAAAAAGTGTGCCTCCGATCGTCAGCTGGTGCATAGTACAGAAATCTAGCATCCGTTTTCCGTTATCATTGGATTCTGTGTGATATGAGTGTTTTCCTATTACACCAGGGTGAGCATCAGTGTCCCTTCCAACACGAGCATTAAAATCTCCTAAAACTATTTTTATATCATGAGCAGGTAGTCCCGATTGAACATCATTCAATTCCTTGTAGAATGAGTCTTTTAAACTGATCTCTGCATCCTCAGTTGGAGCATATACCACTGTAACACTAATGTTGATGTGTTTGCTATGTAAACGGGCAGTCATAACCCGTCCTGATACAGGGGTGTATGATATGAGAGTATTCTTCATCTTTTTGGACAGTACAACACCGACTCCTTCTCTCCGTACCCCATCATTCCTGCCAGAATACACCAAAACAGCCCCATTTCCCAAAGTCTGAGTTCCCGATCCAGCCATATGTGTTTCAGTTACCCCAAGGAGCTCTAGTCCATAATCATCAAACCCTTTTCCCAATTGATACATCTTGCTGGAATTGCTGACAAGAGAAGTAACATTCCATGTACTGACACAGAGAGGATTCTTTACAATATTTACAGGATTAGACATACTTGACTGTCTGTTTACAAATGATAAATCTGATGAAGGAATTCTGTATTTACAGTGTTTACGTCGGCTCTTACGGGAGTTGCAAACAGACATCAAGCTACTAGGGTCCTTTCGGCTTTGCCTAGTCGCCGTCATCACTCCACCTGCGCCTCCACGTATAATACTATTGAATGACACTGTAGACGTTTCTGTAGCGGTTTGATTTAAGGTGGATGGTTTGCCGGACCTTCGCACCCGATCCAGAGGCAGCACCGACATCAAAATGTAAGCCCTCCGTCCGGACACCAGCATGCTGGTGGTTAGGTTCGATACGTAAAATAAAAGCATGCAGAGCTTCTGAAGCCCTTAGGGAATCAAAATTGAACCGTAAGTGATCATGTTTGAGACACGATCACCAAGCAAATGCTCAATTACACAGGGCAACCAAGACTTGGACAATATGGTGAACCGTAGGTGACACACAGATGACCCTGCCACAAGACAGCATCACCAAGCACCACCCAGCAAATGCATCCTCTCGCCACCACAGCAACCGACCCCCCAGTGATATAGCACTGACAGGCAATTAACGGTTTTATGGTGTTACCACTCCCAGGTGATCTGTGCTAACAGACTCGGACCAGATGCAATGGGGAGCAAAAAATTTGGAACGCTTCACGAATTTGCGTGTCATCCTTGCGCAGGGGCCATGCTAATCTTCTCTGTATCGTTCCAATTTTAGTATATGCACTACCGAAGTAGTACATATACTAAAATGTAGTATTTAGCGATCTCTAAACAATTAAATCTGGTGCACTTATACGTTGTACAGAGATGTAATCTATAGTCAAGTTTCTCAAACATTAGAGAATCGCAGCTGCCATCTATTTTTATCTAACATTAATCAACACAGCTAGAGTGTGTAGTACTAGTAGGCACTGGGCACTCTCTTCCTGTAAAGATTTTAAATGGTTATTATAGGAATGTAAGACTGTAACTACTGTTTACTTCAAGTACAACAGGATCTGTGCTCTTGCAAGGGCCCCGTGAGCTTTATTTTTCATAAGAACTTTCAAATTCGGTTAACAATATGCCTCCATGATATGATGATACATGTCAATCGTGATACAATCGTGCTGAAGCAAATGATCCGAGTACATATCATGCCCAATTTGATTAATGCGGCTCATTTTATGATTTTATGCAATGTTAGTCCTTCAGTTTATTATTAGTTTGTAGTTTCGAGTTTCGAATTCCTCTCTCGCATAGCCCGGAGTTTGTGTAAGTTAGTAACTTTCTCGATCGTATGATTTACGGTTGTTCGCTGTTGATGTTATTGAAGCTATTAATTTGTAATCCGCGTCTAAAGAGTAAAGAGTAAAGACGAGAGGATAAATTTATCACTTTCGTTTTCGTAATTCCTTAATTAGTAGCGTGCACGTGGTTTCATGCTTTATAAAAGTTTAGCAGAATATGTTCCACTCATATTCAGCATTCTAGTGCAGTCGTGTGGTATTCTCTAGGATACACAACACGGATGTGTATTATATTCAAGGTATATATAGCTTTTATCGTTGTGAGAGGGAAGTAAAATAGGTCCACCTGCTTCCCTACCCACTGATTGTTTTGTTTGGCGCTTGTTTTTGACTTTTTGTGTGTTTTATTCGATCAGTGCTTTCGTTGAGTTTGTGTTTTGTCTTTTGAGAGAGAAATATAAGTTCGTTGGCAGTGAGTCCCTGTCGAATCGTTATTTTGTTTGCTTCCAGCTGTTCATTTTTCCCTGCCGTTTTGTGTTTGACCGATCACCGTATTAGTTTTACTTTAAAAAGTCTGTTTACAAGCTATCAATATTTGATTCCTTTACTTTCTTTCAAAGCAGACAAGATACGACTGTAACGATATTGTATTTCCAACTACTCGTATGGGATACTATGAAATCAGTTCACTGAGTAAGCACCGATCTTGAACTTATATTTTACGTAATGTATATCTCTGCTTTCTGCTTCCGAGAAACCTTGGAAAATGTAGATGTTCTAATCTTAGTATAACAACACTCTCCCCCTCTCTCAGTTATACTAGTGCTTCTAGTTGGAGACATTCAGGCAGCATGTCCTGCTGGTACCTTCCTTCGAGGAGACCAATGTTGTAAGTGATATTGTAAACTTGTTTCTCAAGTCTCAATCATTACATAGTTGGTAGTCAGGGATTTCACGTTTGTTCTTGAAAACTTTTGAGAAACATCTAAATTGTCTGCTCAAACCCTAACAACTGCTACATTTTGTAACTTCGTATCTACATATTATTACTTCTGATACCCTGCTAATTAATTAATTGATTAATTACTCCACTGCAGTGGTGTGCTCGGCTGGGTATTACGAGTCTGGGGGAACGTGTGAGGCGTGTCCGCTAGATCAGTACAACGACGCGGAGCAGGCTACAGAGTGTAAAGCGTGTCCGGGCGGGAAGAAAACCCTGGAGATAGGGTCTGATGCGGAGAGTAAATGTATTGGTGAGTGAATTTAGTGATAGGTTGTTAAGGGTTGTTAGCATCCCTTCTTTTCTTCCAGTGAACTCTACCAAGAGAGTAAAGTAGTTTAGTAGATTTAATCACAGACAACGAGACATAGTTTCATCATTAACCAAACAACTGTTTTTACTTTCTTTTCTTTTAAAGATCTGCTAGAGACAAATCAAATCTCTGCAGAACTGCGTGTAGTTGTATAATTCCTTTTTTTGAGTTCTGTTCCTATCTTCAGACTTGTGTGAGATTCCCGCTACTTACAACGCTGGGTACAGGGTCGCTTCAAAGCAAGGGCTTTACAGCGTATCCTCTCAAGACAGGTTAGTTACCAATAACCACGGAGACAGGCTTGCCACCGTGGTGACAGGTTTGTCACCATGGTAACCTAATGCAAGTTTATAATTATGGAGACAGATTTGTCTGAATGGCGACATGTTTTTCGAACCAAATACACAGGGGATTCAATTTCGTGTTCGATTGTGTGTTCGTTTGGATGTTTGTCATGATTTCAAGAACTAACTTATCACCACTTAGAGTTGCGTACAATACAAAGCTGGTGTTCGTGTGTTCCCCCGGTTACCAGTACGATAACACCAACACTAACAAACTGGAGAAGACATGTTCAGCTGATGTTGGGGAGCTTCCTTCCTTCTGCATACGTTAGTAAAACTTGAACTCAGCCGTTAGATGTACAATTCTGATGCATTTCAGCCGTGATTTTTTGTAATAGCGAGGAAACACAGTTTATGCCGTTTCACATGTGGTGATTTTGAAAATTATGGTCGACTTTACTTAACCTATCTCTGATCAGGAATTGAAACCAATAACGAGGGTAAGATATCTATTGCACATGATAAGCTAGTGTCAAACTCCAAGCTGGAGGCTAATTGTTGCATCCACATTTTTTGTGAACAAATTGATATGAATCTTATTTTTTCTCAAGAAATGCACGACTGAAACGATTTAAAATAGTAGCCATAAAATCATAGTATAGGTAAAGCTCACTTAAACGAGTGACCACTGATTACTATCACTATTAGTTATTACTATAATATTACTATTATAAAATAAATAAATAAATAAATTCTAACATTTATTACACGCTTCGACATTAAAATATACCCAACAAAGATGTACATTAAAGTCATTCAAGCGAGACTTAGTGTTGAAATAGCAAGATTATGGACTTTTTAAACAGTTCAGATTTTATGAACAAATATTTGTATGAAGTTACCAAAATTATGCACTTTCATATCAGTTCAGACATTATGGACAAATATTAGAAATATTATCAAAAGCTAGTTGGAAATAAAACGTCTTTAGGGCATTTTTAAAACATTCTACAGATGATAATGATCTCACTGAGTAGGGTAGTTCATTCCAAATTTTTGGTCCACAAAACATAAATGCAGCATCTGTTCGTCTGAAATGAGGAGCAGGAGGAACTTTCAACAAATAAAAGTCATCATCTAGTCTGGAACTTCGTCTTCGTACTTCCCTTAGATTGACGTGTCCTTGTAAGTACTGAGGGGCTATGTTATTAAGACACTTGAAGACCAGAAGTGATATTTTGAACTTAATTCTGAACCGAACAGGCAGAAAGTGGAGCTTTTTGAGGTAAGGCATGATAGGTTCACGTATCTTTTTTCCGTAAAGACCAAAGATAAATCTAGCAGCATTGTTCTGTATCTTTTGTAGCTTATGGAGATTCTTTTCTGTTATACCATAATAGACTGAGTTGCAGTAGTCTATGAAACAGAGGATATTGGAGTGAACTAACTGAACTTTTAGGTCATGGGAAAGCTTCGAACCGATTCTTGCTAAGTCCCTTTGATTCAAATAACATACTTTGGAGACAGCATTTATTTGAGAGTCCAGATTCATTTGGTGATCGAAAAGGAATCCCAGGTTCTTGGCCTTGCTAACAGGGCAGATTGAGAGGTCTCCTAAATCCATTGTCTGGATTGGGCTGACATATGGACCTATATCAATGAACTCTGTTTTTTCATCATTCAGTTTTAGGAAGTTAACTGTCATCCATTGCTTTATCTCCAGAAAGCAATTTTTCACAGCTGTTAAATCAGGATTAGAACTGTGAACATCAAAAGTAAAGTACACCTGTGTGTCATCTGCATACAAATGTATCGAGAAACCATATTTTGTGACAATTTCTTCAAGATCTCTGGTATACAATATGAACAGTAGTGGTCCTAAAATGGATCCTTGAGGTACACCAATATCCAGATAGCCTTCAGAAGATGTGGCTTTTTTTACTTTAACCTTGAATGTGCGATTATTAAGGTAACATTGTAACCAGCTGAGTGCTAGTTCTGTAATACCATACGCATTCTTGAGTTTCGTAAGAAGGAGGTTATGGTTTATGGTGTCGAAAGCAGCTGATAGATCTAAGAGTAGAAGCACAACATTCGATTTGCTGTCAATCATCATTAGAATATCATTATGTATTTTGGTAACTGCAGTTTCACAACTATGGAATTTTCTATAGCCTGATTGATATGGGGAAAACAGGTTGTTGACATCAGCATATTCATTTAATTGGCAATGAACTACTTTTTCTAGTATTTTGGACAGATAAGTTAGATTGCTAATCGGTCGATAGTTTTTCAGCTCATCAACATCTAAGGTAGGTTTCTTGAGTCCAGGCCTAATAGATGCTTCTTTTAGGGCAGATGGAAACTTTCCGACTCTTAGTGATTCATTCACGATGTAATGGATGATTGGGAGAAGCTCGGGTAAGCAGTTCTTGAAGAGCCACATTGGTATGACATCGAGTACGCTTGATTTATTGGGAAGACTCTTAATTAAGGTTTCAAGATCTGATAATGAGACTTCCTTAAACTGATTAAGTCTACACTTTGCATTATCTATCGAAGTAGAGTCCTTGGTACCTTGACCGTTTAGGGAAGTGTTTTGAATTTCCTTCTCAATATTAGAGTAAATGGTCTTTACTTTTTGATCGAAGAAAGTCTTGAGTTTGGCAGCCACTTCGATATCTTCACCATTTGGCAATTTGTTGGAGCCATATTCCTTATCTAAAAGTTTATTTATGACTTTATAGGTCCCTTTCGAGTCTCCTTTGCAAGAACTGAGCTGTTTATCATAGTAGCCATCCCTAGCTCGATTGATAGTGATTTCTGCGTCAACACATTTTTCAAAATGAGTAGTTTTAAACTCATCATTCTCTGGATACTTTTTGGCTTTTCGTTTTGCCCTTCTCCTCTCTCTGACAGCAATTTGACATTTATTATCCCAAAAATCAGACTTTTCAGCAGTAAATCGTTTCGTAATAAGTGGGGCATGTTTGTCTAGCACCTGTTCAAGGACATTTTGATAAAGGTTCACAGCCTCGTCTAAGGATTGATATTCAGAAAGGTTAAGCTCTGAACAAAACAGATCTTCCCTGAACTTATCGATGTCAATTTTGCTTAGCTCTCTGACATCTTTTTCTTCATATGTACGAGCTTTATGAAGATCGAATGTGACTGGGACCTGAAAACTTAATAGATAGTGATCAGAGCTGGTTCCAGTGCTTGTCTCTACCATCATATCTGTTACAGACAATGAGTCACTTACACAGCCTAGAGTAAATAACAAGTCCAGTGTCCCGCCGGAGATGTGAGTAGGAGAGTCGACATGCTGAAGGAAGCCTTTGCTCTCACAAAGAGCAATAAAGTTCTGGGCAGCATTATTGTATATGTCTTCAACATGGAAATTAAAGTCACCACAAATAATTGGAGATCCAGTTTTAAGCAGAAGATTGTCCAGGTATCCATCAAAGTCATCCATAAACTTAGATATTTTTGTTTCATCATATTTCGCTTTGGCCTGAGTGCTGCGATAAACTACACATAGCCTGATAATCTCACCAGCAGTTTTAATGACACATTCAAGTACTTCAAAAGATGAATATTTAGTAACATCATTGCGTACAGGCGATATCATTTTTGGGTTGAAGATAAAACCAACACCACCTCCCCTACCTCTTCGAGGGGCACTGATAATATCGAACCCAAAATCACGGATTTCGGCAAACTTTGCCCGATCATTAGTTTTTAGCCAAGTTTCCGTGATACAACAGATAGAAATCGAGTTATCTTTAAGCATTTCTAGTACGCCACAAGTTTTGTTGCATAGAGACCTTGCGTTGAAACAACCAATAGAAAGCTGTGATTTCTGTCGATTAGCACCTAATTTCACATTACGTTTTTTGAAATAAAGTCAGTGTTAGCAGCAATACGTTTAGTTTCTCTTACCAACACAGGACAATCGTAAGCTGCCGCATTATGTGTTCTTGAATTCTCGGCATCATTAGTGTGTGTTGAAGCCAGACATCGAGCACAGGCATGTTTGTCCTTCTTCTGCTTAAATTGGCATGCTGAAGACCGGTGACTTCCCATACAGTACATGCAGGTAGGATGTTTATTTGTTTTGACTTCATTACAGTCAACAGAAGTGTGTCCAATCATTTGACAATGATAACACTGTTTGATGTAGAAGCGATCAGTTACTTTGTATCTGCGACTACCTAAATAGAGAGATCCTTGTTGTTGGTTAAAGAGGACTCTATAGACAGATGGTGATAGTTTGATTCCAATAGTGAGCTCTGTGCGTTCCTGCTTATCGTTGGTCAAACGTTTTATCTTATTGAGATAGACAATACTGATAGTGTGCCCTGCTTCATACAAATCTTTGATGGACGAGTTTTTCTCCACAATTTGGGCGACTAAGTGGTTCTTTTCAAGATCCCTAAGTTTATCGGCATCATTCCCTACAGCTGTAGTGTCTATATCGTCAAGAACTTCAGAAGAAACACCATAAATAGTAACTTTTGGCAGCATTTTGTTGCCATTCTTAGACTGATATCCATACGAATCTAAGGTATTTCCATCATTGAGAAGTGAAGTAGCCTTATCACGAATTTCAGCATTAGGGAAGCCAATTGAAACTTTCTTGTTGTTTTCATTACATCTGAGAAATACTACTTGACTGCTCTTTAATTTATCAGTAGCAAATTTTTTCACATTCGTCATTGTTGCAGCATTTACCGATTGTTCTTCTTTCGGGGACAGAATTAGAATCTCGGGTGATGAAGGTTGTGTACGTGTTGGAGCAATTGGAACATGTGGTGGTTGAGCAGATGGTGTGGAACTGTTTGAGTCGGTAAACAAGCTGGAATAGAGAACGTCCTTTTTATGAGAATCAGTACCGGATTTTGTTACAACAGTGTTTACTTTATTGTCAATAACATCATTGATATTTTTCGTGAGGTCTTCTTTTAAAGATGAAAACTGTTCAGCAAATTGTTTCATAAAATCAACCTGATCTGAGGATCGCTCTTGAGCTCTCTCAGGTTTCTGGGACAGTTGTTCCTTCAGCAAGGTTTTAAGTTCAGACATCTCTTCCCTGAACTCCAAATTAATGGCATCTATTTTATTATCTAACAATCCTACCCGATCTACGGTAGTAGCAGCCCTCTTTTCCTCCTCAGCAGTACTACAATCATTACAGATAAATAGAAAGCGACCAAATCGTTTAGCATAAGATGAAGTGTTGTTCACAGCATGAGACAGGTGAGCAGTAAAAACCGTGGGCGCACTGACATTGCAAGTTTCATCACAGTTGATAGCATGAAAACTGTCCTTACACCAAAAACACTGTACAATGTCGGTACTTTTGACAACCTCATCATTCGAACAAGCTTTACATAAACCGTTGACGAGAAGATTCTTTGCAGAGTTATGAGCAGACTTTTCCATTGCAATTGTGTATTTGTACTTGTATAGATGTACAAAGGTAAAGTACAAACACCGTGCAGTAGCAGTGCAGTGGCAGTTAAAATTTCCGATTAAACAGAGATAAGGGAGCTCTGTTTTTCAACACGTAACAAAACTACAAACGAAAAAATTATACTATTACTATTACTATTCCTCAAGAGGCTCCCTCGCTAGCTCTGTGGCTCAGATACGCTTCCGCTCCTCAGTTATAACGCTATTCAATATTATTATTGTCATCGTAGCCAAGATCATTAATTTTACATTAAGTTTTTTATGAAAACGTTAGATTATCTTGCCTTATCATAGTAAAGATTTTAGAGATTTGGAAAATGAATTGTGACATATAACTTAATGAACTTAATAAGTCACACACATTCAAATTTCTCGTATTCAAGTTAAGATATGAGCAAGAATTTCTGTTGAATTATGTTGAACGATTGCACGCGTGTGACGTGAAGGCAATGATTTCACTAACGTGTACACTTGAGCGATTGGAGTGAAAATATTAAATAAACTTATTTTGTTGGTACCGTGTAAATAGATCTTATAAATAAATAGTAAATAGTAAATAGATCAAGATATATGGTACCGTGTAACATATATCTTGCTCAGGTCTGGAGGCGAGCCAGGAAGGAGAAACTTACTTGGTCTCAACTCAGGTTAGCAAGGAACTTATTTACTTTTAGTCTAATTTAAGTTTACTTTTTTGAGTTTTTATGCATTTTTTGCCATTGTGAAACACATAGAATATTGATTTCAATGCAGGAAAAGAGTGTGACAGTGTCTTGTCAAGTGTTTCCGCTGGAACAGAGCAAGTACGCAAGTGTTCATTTCTTCAAGGATGATGTTAAAAAGACCCAGGATCCTGGTTAGACACTTTTAACAATAGACATATTTCAGATATCATATGACTGATATTCACTCATTGCAAATAATCAAATTAATGATCTATATTTAAAGATCAGCTTTCTTTCACCATGACTCTATTTCTTCCTTTTCAGTGGTCCTGGTAGCATCAAGTGACCACAAGTCCGCTAGTTACACCGTCCAAGAAGAGGGAACCTGGCGGTGTGGTCTAGCTGACGACATCACGGGGGACATCAACAAACCTGTCTCTGATGCTGTCGTCTCCAAACTTAGTGAGTGTTTTTTGTGTTTAGTAGTCGCTGTCGCCTCCAAACTTAATGAGTGTTTTGTGTGTTTAGTAGTCGCTGTCGCCTCCAAACTTAATGAGTGTTTTGTGTGTTTAGTAGTCGCTGTCATCTCCAAACTTAGTGAGTGTTTTGTGTGTTTAGTAGTCGCTGTCATCTCCAAACTTAGTGAGTGTTTTTTGTGTTTAGTAATCGCTGTCATCTCCAAACTTAGTGAGTGTTTTGTGTGTTTAGTAGTCGCTGTCGTCTCCAAACTTAGTGAGTGTTTTGTGTGTTTAGCAGTCGCTGTCGCCTCCAAACTTAATGAGTGTTTTGTGTGTTTAGTAGTCGCTGTCATCTCCAAACTTAGTGAGTGTTTTGTGTGTTTAGTAGTCGCTGTCATCTCCAAACTTAGTGAGTGTTTTTTGTGTTTAGTAATCGCTGTCATCTCCAAACTTAGTGAGTGTTTTGTGTGTTTAGTAGTCGCTGTCATCTCCAAACTTAGTGAGTGTTTTGTGTGTTTAGTAGTCGCTGTCGTCTCCAAACTTAGTGAGTGTTTTGTGTGTTTAGCAGTCGCTGTCGCCTCCAAACTTAGTGAGTGTTTTGTGTGTTTAGTAGTCGCTGTCATCTCCAAACTTAGTGAGTGTTTTGTGTGTTTAGTAGTCGCTGTCATCTCCAAACTTAGTGAGTGTTTTGTGTGTTTAGTAGTCGCTGTCATCTCCAAACTTAGTGAGTGTTTTTTGTGTTTAGTAATCGCTGTCATCTCCAAACTTAGTGAGTGTTTTGTGTGTTTAGTAGTCGTTGTCGTCTCCAAACTTAGTGAGTGTTTTGTGTGTTTAGCTGTCGCTGTCATCTCCAAACTTAGTGAGTGTTTTGTGTGTTTAGTAGTCGCTGTCGCCTCCAAACTTAGTGAGTGTTTTGTGTGTTTAGTAGTCGCTGTCATCTCCAAACTTAGTGAGTGTTTTGTGTGTTTTGTGTGTTTAGTAGTCGCTGTTATCTCCAAACTTAGTGAGTGTTTTGTGTGTTTAGTAGTCGCTGTCATCTCCAAACTTAGTGAGTGTTTTTTGTGTTTAGTAATCGGGAGGTCGCTGAAAATAACGGGTTCTTTTCATCTTTTGTGTGTTTTTATTACTTCGCGGCGAATGTTTTCAGACAATAGAATAGTGATAAAGCAGTAGTTCACATTTTTAACTAGAACTGTCGAGTAGTGTACTGCGTAGATACAGAAAGTAGCTATTGTTGATGTTAAGACAATGGTAGACCTGGAGAGGACAAAGGAAATATCCGTCACAACTCTCAAATTATCGTCACAACTCACCTCTAATCAACTGATTATTAAATACTTTTCAAATTTTACAGAGTACAGCAATAGATGAATATAAAATAGAATCGTTCAAAATATCGCCCCCATCTGTAAAATATGATGGGCACCCAAACACGGTAAACACATAGTGAACTATGTCCGCAGTAACTTGGACCCATTACATCGAATTAATCTAAATCCAAAAATTTATGAAAAACTATTTAATAACAAACAAATCCATGGTGAATAACTGTGGATAAAGAGTCAAAATTGGTATTTCAATACGTCAAATTCCAGATACATTAGATACAGGTCTGAAACGGTCATTAATGTGTGAGAAGGTGTGCGGGTGAAGTGTGATATGATGTTGAAAGTATAGGAAGGTAGATAAAAAAAATTAATAAAACAAAAATAATAATAATATGGGGAGCAAAGAGACTAGGCTAGACTGTTGTTTCACTGTCCAATAAACATTTCCAGAGATGCTTAGTGACCTCAGCTTTGAAAAGACTAGTAGACACAATCTGTCTTACCTGTAAAGGGAGTCCATTCCACAGTATATGGGTTCTGTAGAAAAATGATTTTGCCAGTGGGCTATTTGAGGTACATGTGGTGTGTGAATTCTGACTTAACTTAGGTAAAATTGATGACACAATAGACAGACTGTCGAGGTGGCAACGTCTTAGTCGAGAAGTGCCCTGATATAAAGAGAGATAGCGAGGCAGCGATACAGGAATTAAATTGTTAAGAACTTTGTGGAAAAAAATAAGATCATTCAAGTCAAACTTTTGAGACAAAGGGAGAATGTCGACAAGCTTGCACTTTTTGACATATTGCTCAGGTGGATAACTGCGGCCCTCTTCAGACAGAATCCATTTAATAGCTCTCTTTTGGAGACTTTCTAATTTATCACTAAGTGATTTATTACAAGGGCGCCAGATTATGGAACAATTTTCGAATTGGCTACGAACCAGGGAGAGGTAAAGCGCCCGGCGACGTTTCTGATCAATGACAATATGGCCATCTCTTCTGACCATACCAAGTTGTTGGCAGGCCTTAGTATAAATTCTGTCGCACTGACTATTCCAACTAAGCTTAGGAGTAACATCGACTCCAAGATCTTTTTCTAACTCTACATACACAAGATAAAATGGATATTTTTACATTTCACTGACTATAATTCTGAAGAAAAGAGTTCGACTGCTCTGTTTAGATATCACTATTAAATATTATCCACTAACTTTCAGCAGAATTACAGAACATATAACAACAAAACATAACAACACTGAATGAAGTATCTGTTATAGTCAAGGGATGTAATTTTGCGGTCCCCGACTCTTACATAACTAACCACAGAGTATAACATCCTCGTAACTTTCTCTCTGATCTTACTGTAACAGTGAGAGTTTCAGTATTGAAAGAATCAATCATCTTAAAACCTAACCCTTATATTTTCAGCGCTCACGATGGAAAAACCAGATGAGCTGGCTGTTTCAACTGCAGAATACAGCATTTCCTGTGTAGCCTCTTATCTCGACACCATGGCTCTTCCTGAACTGACTCTGACTTTGAATGGCAATGCTGTAACCGGAACTACCTCCAACATAGGTGAGCTTTCTTTCTTTTTAGCATGTCACAATTCAAAGCCCTATCATGACACTTTGAGCCGTATATTATAAGTCAGGCCGGAATCAACGCGAAGTCAAGATTACTTCCGTCCATACAGCTCAGCTGATAGAGTATGTCAGCTGTCTAAAGCACCCTGTGTTTATCCGTAATCACCCAGTTTATAACTCCTGACTTAACACTCTTTCCCCAGACGGGAGCACGTACCGTATCTCAACGTTATTCGCCACACCATCAAGTGGAATAGCTGGAGAATACACGTGTAATTCCAAGTGGAAGATCACAGACGGGGTGGTTATCAGTGAGAGTCAGTTAAAGCAGACTGTGGATTTCCTTGGTGAGTAATAGAAGATATATTTGCAGTTTCTTTGTTTAGTTTCTTTATTTGTACCTGAAAATTCGTCATTACTATTGTGATATTGTCACAATTGGCCCGAACAAAAATTTGCTAAGTACTTTACATTTTACAAAAAGCTTCAAGCACCCACTGAAAAGTAACTTACTCCACTCCAGAGTTCAGACTCAAGTCACGAAGATGACCATGGTATTTGCAGGTTTCAAGACAGAATACCCTGGTGGAGAGGATGGTACCAGCGCCGAGAAGATCATAGCGTCAAAAGACACTGATTTTACTCTGCTCTGTGAAACTTTCCCTGTGTCAGGTGGGTTTCTGGGGAAGATTTTCAGTTATATTTAAGTGGAGTCATAAGCTTAGCTATCTGAATAGCAAAGTTTGTTGCCAAATAAGATCTAGTATAGGAGGAAGAATGGTTTGACTTTGACTTTCGTCCCTTCAGGAACACAACCGACAGTGAAGTTTTTCGTGGATGGCTCTGAGACGGCAGCCAGCGCAGGCAACTCTCTCGCCGTGACGGCTACAGGAGAGAAAACTGTTTACTGCACTGCAACTGTTGGTAGTCAGGTAAGTGTACTTAGTGTTATTGGTTTGGATATTGGAATTGAAGATAAGAAAATGAAGAATTTCCCGCTCATTTGTTAAGAAAAATAGGCACATCTTAAAAGCTCATGTTTATCCTTTTGACCAATATAACTGACTCCTGCAGACGGTAACATCTAAGACGATGACGCTGGTACCTACAGAGCTGACTGTGGAGCTGACCCCGGCTCTGGTGTACGGAACAGTTGGTGACACTCTCACTCTTACCTGCTCCATGAAGGGGGACAATGTCGAGCTGGTAACGTTTACTTTCTTAAAGTTTATCGTTTGTAATAGAATTTATAATAGTTAACATTTCAATGTATCAACCACTATATATCTAATGGTTTAGCGTTTAAGATAAAACAGTAAGGATAGTAGATAGTAGTAACATGCACTCAAGCCACAATGTTAATGTAAATTGATAAATGGAACAAGCCATATTCCCGAATAAATTAAATTTCTAGGAACAAATGTTTCTTTTTTAAAATTTGTTTATGCTGACAATTCACTTAATTTTGTGCAAAATAAGGCTCCGGTGTATAAAAGTAGTAATTTACCAACTTGCTGTTTTTATTGAGTACTCTTATCTGATTGGTTACTCTTATCTGATTGGCTATTGTTTTTATAGAAAGGCTTTCTATTAAAACTGTACGGTCAAGTTGTTAATGAAAGAAAATTATGAGCTGAAGCTATAAAATAATGAAAAATTTCAGTTCATACAACAGTTTTCCACGGTAAGATGAAGATGGAATCCCCGATTACTTTTGATCAATCATTTTTTACCTCTCCAATTAATCATAACTACTTTGGTCACAAATCCAGAAGATGACGACATTCTCTTTTTGTGACCGAACTTGTCACTATTGATGGGGAGAATGCAAAGCATTTTTGTGGTTGATAATCGCATCTGCTTTACAAAGGATATTTTATTCCGATATTAACGAGAATCAAATTGTTGATTAAATTTTGACGATTCCATTAGCATATTTGACCCTTGATCAGAGTGATATTTTTTCAGAAAACATTCTTCGAGCTGTTAAGCGCATGCTTGAAGCATATGATAATAAACACAAATCTTAGCTTTACCTTGCTATTTTGCTCTACAGCTACTATTAAAGAAATGGCACCAAAATATATCCTTGTGTTTTACAAGCTGCTAAAATGATTCCTCTCAGGCGGTACTGAACACGTATGTGGATGGCTCCAACACGTTCACTAAGGACAGTGCGGATGTGGACGATACTGGGGCCTCCAAGTTCGATATCACCATCTCAAAGTGAGTGCAAAATACCTTATTCTCCAAAAATTCGCCCAAATGATTTCAAATTTTTCGCCCAAATTTTTCGCTCAATATAATAGATCACAAATTTTTGGGAACTAAGGTATGCAAAATATGCCAAATATTCAGTATTTGATCACCGGAATACTAAACAATCTAAATTTCGTCGAGGAACACACATACTATCCGGAATGAGATGATCAGTTGTACAATGTACACGAGGCCACGTAGCTGGAGTTATGAGTGCTTAACAAATAATTATGATAATAAATAAATAAAATAAATTACAAAATCGCTCCCAGGACCAACACATGGGCAAGGTGTGGTATGTACATATTGAGTGAGGGACTCCATTTCTACTCCGATCCCATCAGGATTTATTACAGAGGTGAGGTTAACTTTCTTATATTAAAAAACCGATAATTGATACCAAATTGTTGATTGTTCTGAACACTTGAACAAAAACTTCAATCGTTTGTGAGTCTCGTGCCGCTAAGTTACCCACCACTGAGCTAAACCATCTAACTATGTTCCCTGATTTACAATTTAACGATTAAAATGTTGTTGTCTCACAGAGAGCACTGTTTCCCCTGACTATCTCGTCCTGCTGGCTGGAGGGAGCAGCTCCTTCACTCTTCAAGTGTATGGTGACCCCTCTCAAGTGACCGCCTCCAACCCTGAAATTCAGACCAACAAGATTACCGACAAATCGTCCGACTGGTCAGTCTTCTTATAATTATTTTAATACTCACACAATTAACACAATTTATTAGCTTGGCCATGCTCTGGTGTCCGATTTAATGCCTAAATGATTCAGATACTAACATATTTTGCATCAGCTGAATTATGAATACTTGAATATTTGGTTCTTTTGTGATAGTCAAAACGCGACAACTAGCGCTGGATGGCGACAACTAGCGCTGGATGGCGACAACTAGCGCTGGATAGCGTTAGTTGTCGCCATCCAGCGCTAGTTGTCGCGTTTTGACTATCGCAAAAGAACCGAATATTTTGACGTTTGCAAATTGCATTTTCACTCTTTTTGTGGCTATCCTTATATACAGTTGAAAAGTATCGTGGTTAATCAGTGATAATTAATAAATATACATTATGTATATTAATTATTAATGATATAATGTACAACCCACTCTTCAGGATGACCTACTACGAAGTACCAGTAACGTCCGCCAAAACCAAATGGTACGGTCCTCTAGACTTTACTATCACCTATACCTCAGACAAGGACACGGATGTTAAGGAGACTAAACTCTATGTTACCGGTTAGGACTTGTTGATATTTTTAGTAATATTTACTAGCTATTATTTAATTCTTTGGAAATGTTTTCTTGATTCGAGACAACGTTTAATAAATATAGTATAAATATTATAATACGATATTATAGGTGTATGTGGTGAGTGGTGAGGTTATATTAAGGTCACAAAACCTCACATCCGAGTGTTATTGTATTATCTTCTACTCAACATACAGTTAGAATATTAAGTTACACAACTCTGCATTATACTCTGACTTGGACTCTTCCTCTTTTGCCAAAATTGTTGGTAATAAATCCGTTCATAAACTATTATATTATATATTATGTTGCATTTAGACACGCAGGAAAACACACAATATGAGGCTTTAATGAGAGCAGCTCAAATTATTTGTTATATTATAAGTACTATGTAGTATTGAAAGTGTTAAATATTACATTATTACATAATATAGTATCAAATATTATACACATTTAACCCCACACACACAGATGTGTCATTGAGCGCCTACTCGGAGAACGTAGCTGCCGCTCAGGATATAGTTCTGATCTGCTCCCATGTTAACCCTCCTGTGTACAACCTGCCTTCTGTAACCTGGACCAAGGGAGAGCTGGTAATAGAGGATTCAGCCAGAGGTAATTACCGACTCACTGGTTTCTTCTAATTGCTAATTGTGGTTTATTTCCGATCATGTGCGTTTTTTTCCCGATGGAACAAAATAATGAAATCCACAAAAACATTTTCCCATAATTTTGATCCATATACGTTCTCAAGTTGAAATCACGAATGGCAAAGACGAAACTACACTGAAGATAAAATCCGTCGAGGAATCTGACACTGGACTCTACAAATGTGCTGTTGACTTCAAAAATAAAACCGACGTTGTTATGTTTCAGAAGACTTCTGACTCTGTTCAGCAAAACGTAGTCGGGGAAGGTAGGTGTTTTATTATTTAACTTATTATATCGGACGTTATTTGACTCGACATTACGTAAAAGGACATAATTCTGAGTAAACATTAAAATGGACGCCCCTGTTGGCGCCCCTCCCCTTTTAGCGCCCCTCCCTAAAATTGAACAAATAAGGTGATATTAGAGGATACGCCGGTAAAATCTCTAAAAAAGTGTGTTTATAGAGCAAAACGCGCAGTTTTGCAAAATAGTCCCACATTCAAACGACGAATTTGCGCCCCCCTAAGATGGTGCCCCCCCCCCCCCCCCCCGCACAGCGGGCCCTTCTTTACGCCACTGGTCTCCAGCGTCCGATTAATGTCCGTTCAAATAAAGTCCGATAACTCGATAAGGTAGTCAAGTTTAATTGGAGATATACTGGCGTAGCAGATATAATAATACTAGAAATTTATTACTGACCCGTTTAATTTACATATCTTACATTTTTGCAACATAACACAGCCACAGTTTTGAGGACATTGCTTTGGTTCCATCTGCTCTGACCCCCAACAATTGTCACTGCTTATCTGATATTTACAGCCGAAACAAGTAAATTTCACACCTGTTACTCATTTCAGCTTATTTCTCCGACTCAGAAGCTTGGATGGGACAGCAAGTTAACGCACTGTTCCGGATATCTTGTCATGTTCATTACAGTCGCCCTTCAAACTCTGCAGCTCCTAAGATCGGTGTTCAGTGTCAAGACTCAGGTACTTCATTCGTCCTGAGACAGATATTTCGATTTGTTAGTTAAGACAACTTAAATTATTTTAATAATCACTTTAAGAATGTTGTATTGAAAGAAATTGATTCTTCTAAAATACCGCAACCCAAGGTCTGGAAGGCTGGGTGACGAAGGAAGAAAAAACAACATCCAAGACTGACAAAAAATTTACGGAGTTGTTTGACGTCACGATGGTAGAAACAATGAACAACAATGACTGCAGATGTTTTGGAGAGTTCTATGACGCTGTTCTGGAACCTTACGAAATTTCCTCTCCTCTTACTCGAGTGTTTGCTTATGGTAGGTTCACCGACAATATCACAGTGCTGGCAAGCACGACCGTGGACATTTTATATTCCCTTTACTCATTCCCCTTTACTCATTTTTCTTTTTTCATTAGGACTCATCAGGAGTCATTCAGCAAATTTATTTTGTAGTATTCCAAACATTCTAATGCAATGTTAAAGATGGCAGGAATTAAAACCCTGATATACTCAATTTTGTAAAAACCCCCGAATCACCATATTATTCAAGTGCCTACAAAACTATGTTAATATTGAATTAGAGACCTGACATTTTTACAGGGCTTCTAGAACTTGACCAAATCGACGGCAAAATGATTTAAAGTTTCAGGAGTATCAGGAAGGGGGTAAACTGGAACAAATTTGAAAACCTAATTTATGGAGCCGCGTGCGACGTGTCGTCAAATGAAATTACAAATTTTTGTTATTTAATTCTTCCAAAATTTATCATTTCGAGTTTCATAAACATCTTTGACTTCTTTGTTAGAGTTGTAAAAACCATGTCAATTAGAAAGTCTCGTAAACAATACACAGCTATGAGTTATTTGTTATTGTTGTCAATTAATTAAGATACAACATTTTTTTCCATCCTCCCTTAAAAAGGTAAAGTAGAATTTTAATTGTAGCTGTGCTGGGTATTTTCTACAGATGAAGTTGTGACGTTGACAGCAGAGTTGCTTCTGATCACGAGACTCTACTTGGACCAACAAGATAATTAGAAACTTTTAAATTTATACCGTGAGTACTTCTCAGAACAATTTAATTAGTAGACCGATTATGACTCATGAGATCGGGAGTTCTACTGAATAAATTGGTTTGATACCAAATTTAAATGCTGCTGTTGAGTAATGAATCCCCTAACTACGTAAAGTTCATTGTGTGAATACAGTACAGCTCTAGGAAATAGAATGTAAATCTTGAGGGACACCTCTCAAGCTCATGTCTTTATAAACTTCTTTGTTTGAATTGTCTCCACTTTACTAGGATTTTTTAGCGTACGTTAAACCTACCCTTCATATAACAGTGTGGGCCAAAAGTCATTGGGCATACGTTGGCCTTAATAGCTCCACCGTGTTTTATATTTGAGAGCTGTTGCTTTGCAGATAGCATACTGTACCTTCTGGTTCGAGGATTCTGTCGTCAGAATTTGAAAATTCGAATATTTTAAACCACGCCCATTCATTATTAAAACACCCATATTGTTTAATTCAATAAAGACACGGCAACTAAATGGGCGATTTTTATTCGCATTTTAATAGGTTATTGAATCTGCTCATCGTTGCATACCCTGTATAATGTATATTGTATATTATATAGCAATAATTGATGATTATTTTTAAAAGGGTAACGGATTAATTTACAATGTAGTCTACCAAGAGGGACACGACATGGGTGCGTAATTCTTCAGCTTGTGATGAACGACAGATATTCGATATTTATCTGTTTGGGCTTGATATGTCTGTCAGCTAATGGTGAGTAATGATACAATTTTTATTATCTAATCAATCATAGTTGTTGCAATTTAGCCATTTCAGTTCTTGTTATTTACAATCCCACATCCAGAAAGCCGGCAGATAAGCAGATGATCTGCGAGGAAAATTTGATTTTGAATGAAATTTGGTGACAAAGAGGACATTTTTAGAAGATCTGATTTTTAAAGGGCATAAGAACATTTTTAGGGCGGAAACATTGATCTGCGAGGAAATTTAAAACTTTCTGGATGTGGGCTTACAACATTGTATTATATCACATTATGATAGTACAATTACATTTATGTAATTTTATGTGTATCAATATACATGATACATTGTACTTTCATGGCGTGATATAATACAGTGAATCGTAAGTTTCAAAAAACTTTTAAAATAATTGAAGCAAAAATATGGAAATAAATTCAATTTTACAGGAAGAGAAGTAACATTATTATCTGTTACACCATCATCTGTGGAGTCCTCCTTACGTGGCAACATCAACAAAATAATTGATGGAAACGAGGGAACGAATGCATGCACGAAAATGAATTCAAATCCCTGGTTTCAAGCTAAACTTGACGGAATGCATTGTATTGCACAAGTTCATGTTAAGATCAGACACTCTAGGGACTGCAACTTCACGGTTTTAAGCGATGCCACATTAGAAAGTACAGGGAACTGTGAAAATCTCTTTATGGACGTCTTTAATGGCTCAACAGATTCTACCACCTCCTTCCCTTCCAGCAGATCTGGGTGTTTAATAGGGGACACTGTAAAAATACTATTTAGTGTCTATAGTAGCCCCTGTGTATCTGAAATAAGAATAGTGGAATTATTAATAAGTGAGTAATTTAAAGTACATTTTGATAAAATGCAATGACAAATCGAAGAAAAAAGCAACGTATCATTGAATCATGTTTATTAACTAACCTAGTGACAGTCGCATTTTAGGATTAGTTTTATTCAATGCATAATGTAACTCAGACATACCTCAGGTTGTGAAGCCAACAGTCTGAAGTGGGAGAATGTAAAAACAGACCCACCACTCCCAGTAAAACATGGGGTTCAGCTAAAGTTAAACTGCGAACACGATAAAACCAACTCAGGAGGGGATGTGGCTGAATGTAAGGATGGGAAGTTAGTGCTGGTTGGTACTGAACCCCCAATCTGTGGATTTGGTAAGCAAAACCCATTATATAATTCTAAGTATAATTGTTACTATGTAACGATTATTTTTAACGGTGCAGTTGTTTAGAACGCCAGCTTTGCAATCGTAAGGTTGCGAGTTCAAATCCCGCTGTTTGCCTGGTCGTGGGGTGAGCGACGAGCGTCGTTGACGTTCAGCTAAATATTGGATTTTTTACTAATAATTCCACCAAAATTTTACAATGTTATGGTACTATGATTTTCCTATAGCTAGGTAATTTACTTTGGCTTTCATGAACATAATTGTTGTGAATGAATTGTGCAATCCATTATATAAATTAACCAGAATTTATTTTTAGTTTCACATGACTGCCGACCGGACAGTGTTTTATGGAATAACACTAAGACAGTGCCAACACTGCCCGTGAAGGATGGGGAGAGAATAAAGATTATGTGTGCAGATGGTTACAAAAACAACGGCAGTGTCACAGCCACATGTGTGAATGGAAATTTAGAACCATCTGAAAAACCAACTAGTTGCCTTCCAAGTGAGTTCCTTGAAAAAAGAGTAATTTGGCACACTAGAAAGAGACATTTGTCAGATACTATTGTACTATAATTATAACTACAATTATAACCTATAACTACGTCCTACATGCAATAATTGTATTTAAAAACTTCCCTTGTTTGAATTGTCTCCACTTTACCAGGATGTTTTAATTTAAGCATCTATATGGAAATAAATTCCGTTTTACAGGGAGAGAAGTAACATTGTTATCTGTAACACCATCATCTGTAACACTATCATCTGTGGAGTCCTCCTCCTTGAGAAGAGGTGGAAACATCAACAACATCATTGATGGAAACAACTTACTAAAACTGATAGATTTTGGAAGAACAAAATAACAAAAAATTAGACGATGCGTTGCGCGCATGGTTTCATAAATTTGTTTTTTAATTGCCCCCCCCCCCCTCCCCTGGTCGCAACAAAATCTTCCTCTTTTCTTTAGTGTAACAACCGTGCGGTGGTTGATTATCGCCAGTTTAGGATCCATTCCGCATATTTCACTAAAAAAATATTTCAGCGGTAAAAAGATTGCCAGGTTCAGATGAGAAGCACTTCTCGATGATATCACACTCTGTCACAATGAAGTGCTCTGCTAACGGAAACGGAACCTTACCCATTCAATGGTAAGTTGCCTCACCCAATCTCGATATCACCACCAAATTGTATTTCGTGTGTTCTTTCAGACTCTGGTGGTTAGATTTACGAATTAAAGTCGTCATCAAATTTATTTTTCCCCGAAAACCACTATAAACATTAAACACCCCCTATAATAATAACCCTGAAAAAGTCACCAAATGTTACCCGTGCTCAGGAAGAAAGGTGACACCAAGCTGAGCGGGAGTAAGTACACGGTGACAGGAGAAGAGCCGATAGACGGTGTCTATACCTCTACCCTGGTCATCACTCAGATAACTGCGGATATGGACGGAGGGTATGCGTGTTATGTGGCCTACGAGGTCGACACACAGCTTCAGGCAGACTTTAATCTTCATGTTCTGCGTGAGTTTTATGGATATATAAAAGTATTGGGACTTTCTATTTCTGAATTCTATGATTTTAGTTAGACTTAACTGAAAATAACCGTCTCCGTTTCTAGATATCGAGGAGTTTAGCACCTCCATCCGGTACGAGAACGAAGGATCGTCTGTGTCTCTCACCTGCAAGGTATCCCAGATTGAGGATAAAGTACCCACTGTGACCTGGGACCAGGAAGGTACCACCAAAGAGGGGTGTGATACTAGCATCGTCAGAGGTAAGCTGAATCCTGAATCTTAGATCTGAGTTTAAACTCTTAACACCCCAGTTCAGGGACAAAAGGTTTTCGCGATTATTTTGTTAAAAAATCGCGATACCGCGATTTTTAACAGACTATACATTAAACTAGACATAAAATGTGTCGCAAATAATGGGAAAAATCGAGATTTCGTACATGCCGCGATTTCCTTTTGTCCCTGAAATAAAAACAAAATATGATTCTCAATATTATCATATACTCACTACTATTCAAAAAGGACTCCTAAAATGAAAAACTTGACTTTGTACACAAGATATTCCAGATCTTATAATTTGCTAACTAACCAGGCGGTACCCTGGACTGTGTGCACGTGCTCACGATCACAGCACAGTTGGAACGGAGTGTGAGCTGTTCAGCGGAGTACAGAGGTCAACCTTCTCTTAAGGGACAATCCCAGAAGTCAGGAGCTGTTACTGTCATCTCGCAGCGTGAGTTTTTTTACGAGTAATTTGGTTCATACTTGACTTTCTGTGACAATGATTACAGTTATTACAATTATTACAGTTATTACAGTTATTACAATTATCACAATTATCACAATTATCACAATTATCAAAATCATCACAATTAGTACAATGATTACAATGATTACAACGATTTCAAATTTGCATTTAAAGGCGTGTGGAGCGACCAGAGCAAGGTAACAGTAGTGGACGGGGAGACGGCAGAGTACGTGTGTTACGGGAGCGGAAACCAGAACGCAATGAGAGCAACCCTTAACTATCCCGGAAATCCCACTGTGAGTAGAAGAGGATTTACGGTTATCATAACCGTAAATCCTCTTCCAACCGGGTTATGTATTTAATGATAGGAATGTTGTTTCACATTTTTATGAATTGACACATGATATTGTGAAGAGTTTAAATTTAAAGTAAAACCATATTTACAGGCGATTAAGGAGAATATTGGGACGTACGAGGCTAAGTTCACTTTTGTGATGGCAAAAATAACGAACGATAAAGAGGGTGAATATCAGTGTGAACTTAACTTTGCGACTCCGGTTCAATTAGCCGTTACAGTGGAAATAATGAGTAAGTTGATATTGTTATTTCTATTTATTTATTCTAAAAATATCATTTTTCCGGGACTGTCCAGGCTTACAACGACAAAACTTTCTAAAACGCGACGATTAGACTTGCTCTAACATCTGTGCTTTCATATTTGAGCTTTTAATCTATAATTTAAAAAGTCCTTCATATTATGGAGTCAGGGTGTGGACTGGCTGCACCTGGTTACCTCACTTCCGTCCCATTGCATAATAATACTGAAATACAGTTACAATAAAATATGCAATCATAATATTATAATCAGCAACATACGTCATACAGTATATGATATTGATAATCTCAGGGTTAACGGAGGGGTTCCCCTCGGAGACAACATTCCAGACTGTGGATAAGGTTCAGAGCTTCACATGTGCTACCGATTTGATGGGGGACAACACCAACGCTAAGGTAAGGACTGAAGCAGCTGAACCAGCATTAAGCTTTTATATGGTTGCAAATTATTGAGGATCAGTTTTGCAGGTTACACTCTCACACTCTGCGAGAGTACCAAAACTGTACAGTGCCCATTTCGTCACAAACATACTCGCCACAGATTCGTTTTGACGGGGGACCGTCCGCAGACCCGAACTTGTTCAAGTACTTTGACACAGAAGGAGAGGCGAGCAGCACCCTCATCCTCCAGCCCATCACGGAGACAATGAACATGAAGGAGTACAACTGCAGTGTGGAGATAAAGGGGAGTGATGCTGATGGAGATCTGACTTCCAAAGGGCTGTTTGTAGTCCAATGTAAGTGTGACTTTTATCTGTTTATGAAGCTAGATGTGCATTCAGAGGCCCATATTGAATAAGAGGAGAAATAGCAGGTCAAATATTTTCTTAAACGAAAAAGAAAATGAGATCATGAGTACTTCCAAAGGGTTGTTTGTAGTCCAATTAAAGTGTGACGTTTTTGATGTTTATGATATGCATTCGACTTTTGTTGGAGCATTTCAAGATGTTTTTAAACAATTAGAGATGAAATTGCAGGCCAAATATTTGCTATAACAAATAAGTAATTTATATAACATCATAAGTATATAATATAGGTAAATCTAAGTATAAGTAAATACCATCTTATTGAAATGATGTATCTCGCCATTTAGTTGATTAAATATTGCGCTCAAGAATTAAGATTTTGATGCCCTATACGAAGTGAAAGTATAACTGTACAAAAGGTAACATTTTCTACTCTCTAACAGTTGTAAAGCTAGAGAAGAAAAGTTACTTCGGAGTGGACAAACAGCCCCTGAGCATACCTTGTGTTGCCAGTGGAAGAAAGGCGCACGTGGAACAAATATCCTGGACTTTTTCGCCCGATGGATCAAAGAACACTGGAGATAAACAAGCTTATATGACCCAAAGTTTCTCGTGAGTTTGGAAAATTTCCGTAATAAAAATAAGGAAAGTGATATTCCTATTTAATGCGCGCATGGGCAGGGAGCAAAGTGAAAACTGAGGATCCTTTGGAAAAATGTTTAATATCTCTCCAAAAATCCCCCATAACAGATGAAGAAATAAGGTCCACTCCCTCAGGTTAAAGTCTGTGTTAACTCAAGATCTGTCTCCGGAAAAGGATGGTGACTACACTTGTAGCGTACCTTACGAAACTTACCCTCATCAAGATGTTCTCAATATTAAAGTTCTCAGTAAGTTTTGTTCTACTTTTTGAAATTTTTTAATAGCTATCTGCTACCACATGTTTACTTCTAATAGTAATTGATCACTCATATTGTCTAGAATTACCAATGTTTTTAAACACAATGTTGTAGCTGATATCCAAACTATTTAACTTCAGAGATAGAAGAAAACCCAACATCAAACAATTACCTGCAAGTGGGGGATGCAGCTACAATATCTTGTACCGGGTCCGCTCACGGACACACCGTTGTGCCGACATTCCTTTGGAATTATGTCTCCGACATTAACACAGAGTGAGTGCACGGAATGTTTTAATTCTATGATCTGTTTCTACTTTCTACTACTACTTTCTATTTCTACTTTCTAGGTCCTTTTATGTTGTTGGTTAATGATAGCTTGTTTATTTGAGGTTTAATTTATACTCATACACAAAAGAAACAAGCTTATTGATGATTGAAGGAACACTGCGGTTTTAACAAAAGCCAATTCCAGCAAACAAGAAACGTGCAACACACAGTACAACCCCAACTCAGCAGGGGAACTCCCAACTCCGACTAACTCAAAGGGGGTGTCCACTATCCAGCACAGTATTGTTCAGGTTAGTGACGTCATAGATTCGTATCAGGTTTTACATCACGAACTATCGTCTGCGTCTTTTCCCGACTGACCAAGCCGCCTTGGTCGACAGATATAATTATTAGAAAAGTTGAACTATACTGTCAGTAACTCAGCAAGATATAGGGGACAAGTCAACTTAAGGCTTAAGTCTAAGCCGAACCTTATACTGAATTACCGGTTCTATTCAGTCGGACCACCTCCGATCTGTGGACTGCACGATGTCCTGGAGTGGTACTGATGCTGACGGCTCTCTGACGACTACTCCAGCTCTTATTGTTGTCACTTACATTGACGCGCAGGACGAGGTGTGTAACTCTCTCTTACTGCTGTTCAAATCTATTAATTACTGTTAATTAATATCTCTTATTGCTGTTAATATCTTTATAGTTAAATCGTGTATTCCACACTTCCGTGATGATCGTCTAGATGTTCAAATCTCTTGCTCAATGATTTGGAAAAGCTTCATCACCTTATTTTTACTGCACGCACGCATTTTGATCGTAGTTACCGTTAACTTTCTGCCAGGTTTACGTTATCGAAGGGCAGGACGGCAAGATAACATGCATGGCATACGGACCAGACTCAGTAGATTTTACGTGGTGGTATAAACAAAATGAAGACAGCAGCGCTTTCAGCAAGCTCACCCAGGGAGGAGACTACGACATTACCAAGGTACTTATAGTTCTAACAATCAGCATACTTATAAATATCTCCGGGATTTCGACGCGGGATCATATTATCACTCAGCCCGACCCGCTGTTAGATAAACATCTCAAGGTGATATCATCCCGCCCCGGAAATTTGTATAAACCCGGCCCGCTTTTTAGTCGTAACTGATGTTTATCATTCAATTCTCCGACTTACAATAATCAATGATACTGCTGATTAGAACTCGATAATAGTAGAACAGTTAGACGCGCGATCACGTGGGCGCGTCACGTGCGTACCACGTGCCACCAATAGCATACGCCGAGTCTATACCACGTGACACGAAACTCGAAAGCGCACCACGTGATATGAAACATCGTAACCGTCCACTTCTTTTACACGCAAATTCCTGGGAACGTTGCCAAAGCAGCTAATTCTTGGAATTTCTCCAACGCGTGGCGTGAGAAGTTGGCGACTAGCCAGCTACCCTTGTCCGTGCCCTAAAAATAGTATTGTTTTGCTTGCTCTCCTTCCAGCTTTTGTTCCTGCTAACGTTCAAGCTATTGCTCCACTATGACAGATCGGTTTGACATTCAGATTGATGAACTGCTTTCCAATCGTGTTCCGGACAGTACAGTTAGAGTCAACAACTGGGCTCTAAACAAATTTAATTCTTGGCTTCAGTCATCCAGATTTGCTCGTGACTTCAATGACTTTGACCAAATTCAAAAACTATTTTATCACTCTCTTCTAAAATATAAATCCCTTGTCGAAATCGCCGGAGATAATTATAATCCATAAACACTTCACGCTCAGGGCTAAATAAATGTAATCCCTCAGCTGGCGCTTCGGGATTACATATTAACACAAAACTCGTGCGCTAGCGCGGGATGATCTGTTATATAAACCCTTTGCGTGGCGGGTTTATGTTATTATAATCATAGCTCTAAAGTTCATTAAAACACCCAAAGAAAACAAAGACGATATTAGGTTCCCCGACTTTTACTCTTCATTGAAAGGCTCCAAAGTTTGCTACATGGAGAAGAGAAGTGGTATCCGTAATATACCTAAGTATGCCTAAGTGGTATCTAAGTCTTAGTATAACGATCAGCTTTCTTCTCATTGTCACTATTGACATCGAAAAAGTAAAGAATAAATAGAAAATCCCCTCCCCCCTTCAAAGATGACATTCTTCAGACAAACTGGGATAGTACTTGTCACAAGAGGTCCTCGACCTTGACTGTAAAGACATCTGCGGCCTCCCATGAGGGTAAATATAAGTGCAAGACGAGTGATAATGAGGTAACGACTAGAGATATGGAGAAAGAAATTCTTTTGAAGGTCAGTGTGATTCATATAAGGAAAATATACTACCCTTTATTAGGACTCCAATTAAGGGCATTCTTTTCTTTTTTTATTTTCAATCATCGTTATTTTCTCTTATTCTTATTGAGTTATTGATATTCTCGACAATGAATATGATATGTACCGCAATTTAATTCCGCATGTTATTCAGTTCCACCCGTTATGATTAATTCAAATCAATCTTATAGCAATATATTTAGCGGTATGTAACCCAGACATTTAGCGGTATGTAACCCAGACATTTAGCGGTATGTAACCCAGACATTTAGTGGTCTGTAACCCAGACATTTAGCGGTCTGTAACCCAGACATTTAGCGGTCTGTAACCCAGACATGTAGTGGTCTGTAACCCAGACATTTAGTGGTCTGTAACCTAGACATTTAGCGGTATGTACACCAGATATTTAGCGGTATGTAAACCAGACATTTAGTGGTCTGTAACCCAGACATTTAGTGGTCTGTAACCCAGACATTTAGCGGTATGTAACCCAGACATTTAGCGGTCTGTAACCCAGACATTTAGCGGTCTGTAACTCAGACATTTAGCGGTCTGTAACCCAGACATTTAGCGGTCTGTAACCCAGACATTTAGCGGTCTGTAACCCAGACATTTAGCGGTATATGTAACCCAGACATTTAGTGGTCTGTAACCCAGACATTTATCGGTCTGTAACCCAGACATTTAGCGGTCTGTAACCCAGACATTTAGCGGTATATGTAACCCAGACATTTAGTGGTCTGTAACCCAGACATTTAGTGGTCTGTAACCCAGACATTTAGCGGTCTGTAACCCAGATATTTAGCGGTATGTAAACCAGACATATTGGACAGGTGTATCGAGTAGTTGAGTTCAAGACTGACAAAGAAGGAGAGATCACTCAGTTTGACGCTGCTTCCTTGGCGTGTATCGCCAGTTACCCCGGAGGGAAGTTTAATTTCATCAAGAAAATTGACGGAAAGGACCCTGAAATTCAGTATAGTGACTACGAGGTTGAAACAGATGTGTCAGAGGGTTATGAAGACAAATCCTTCCTGACAGACAAATGGGTATGTTAAAGCTTTAAAGGAGCACTTATCTATTTATGAATTATCTTGCTCGTTTGTTCAATTTAAGTCTAAATTTGTCAGTGAACTCACGAGGTCTGGATAATTAATTTGAAACAAAGTTACGAGCCAAATCTTTATAATTCATAATTCATGTGTTCCAGGTAGCAGCTGGGTGGAACATCCAGACGTTTGACGTTGATGATACGGGAGAGTACGAGTGCAAGGTCGAGTGGAACGGAGACGCGGCTCCTGTCAAGAAACTGGATCTGGAAATAAGCTTGGTAAGTGGACTAGACAAGTTACTAGACAAGTTACTAGACAAGTTACTAGACAAGTTACTAGACAAGTTACTAGACAAGTTACTAGACAAGTTACTAGACAAGTTACTGGACAAGTTACTAGACAAGTTACTAGACAAGTTACTGGACAAGTTACTAGACAAGTTACTAGACAAGTTACTGGACAAGTTACTAGATAAGTTACTAGACAAGTTACTGGACAAGTTACTAGACAAGTTACTAGACAAGTTACTAGACAAGTTACTAGACAAGTTACTAGACAAGTTACTAGACAAGTTACTAGACAAGTTACTAGACAAGTTACTAGACAAGTTACTAGACAAGTTACTAGACAAGTTACTAGACAAGTTACTAGACAAGTTACTAGACAAGTTACTAGACAAGTTACTAGACAAGTTACTAGACAAGTTACTAGACAAGTTACTAGACAAGTTACTAGACAAGTTACTAGACAAGTTACTAGACAAGGTACTAGACAAGGTACTAGACAAGTTATTTAGAATTTTAGAGTATGGCTAGGTGCCCATTTTGTCTTTGTTTGTCTTCAATTATCAATTATTTTGCGCTTTTTTCTTTCACTATCCGTAACAGATTCTGGCAAAATGACTTTTAAAAACGTATATCATTACTTAGGTGTGCCAAAGACCGGACATAACAAACGGTAAGCTGTTAACGGATGACCCAGACACAGTGTGGATTAAGAAGGGCGAGAGTGGCACTGTGACCTGTGAGTCAGGTTTCACCCTTAGTGGGGAGAGTTCCGTTAATTGTGTTGACGGCCAGCTGAAAACACCCACCGGTGGTTCACTGACAGCGCAATGTCTGGCGGTAAGTTAAAATGACTCCGGTAGATTTATCAGTCTTCTCGCCGTTTAGTTTAGGAAGAAGTAAAATGTCCATGGTATTTTTGGCTAACGAGCTAATATAAAGCAGTTATCAAGGCTTCTCTCCAACCATTACTACAATAAAGAATGTGAAATTTCGGAGAACAGTCCTTAGATTTTAGCAGAATGATATCCCATCCAGGTTCCAGAGAAGAGGTGTGTGGTTCTGCCAGCCCCAACTAACGGCAGATTAAACTGTGTGATGAGGGCAGGTAACCTGGCGTGCAGTGTTGTGTGCAATACAGGTAAGGAGCTGAAATAAGGAGCCGGAATAAGGAGCCAGCTAGACCAAATTCTCACATAGTGCATATCTTTCAGTTTCACCTCAACTACATTTTACATTTATCCGAATCTGCGGACCCGTGATGATTAATAACGAGTCATTGTCAAGTCTAACACATTTCTCCCTCTCTCCCAGGTTTCCTTATCTCTGACGCTTCTGATAACGAGTACACGTGTACAGCTAATAGTGGAGAGAACTGGGACCACGTGGACGCCACTAATCCTCTCGGCAAGACAGCCACGTGCGACAGTAAGTTGTGTGACAAAAAAGAAAGAGAAGAAAAAATGAACAAAATTTTGGAAATTTCAAAATATTATCACAAAACTTATATAATAGTATAATAATTATCACTAAACTTATATAATAGTTTATAAGTACTGTTATAAGTTACTGTTTTCTTGAAAAATTTGTTGTTTTCTTGTATAGCAAGCAGCGTCCGCTAACTTATTGATTTTCCTACACATGCGGCCACGTGTTATAGTAAAAAAGGAGCGCGAGCGTCAAAACTTATGATTCTCTCAGAGTTGACAACGAGGATCTACACTTACACTATTGATGATCAGGACTGTTCTGCAATCAATACTGCGTACGAAAGTCAATGTGATGTGGATTGTAAAGGAGTCCTAAAGGTAGGCTGAAATTTAACAAATGTATTGTACTTCTTTCAGTGACCAATGACCTTGATTTCAGTTATAAGTGGTCACTGATACAATTACTATAAATAAATTAACGTACATTCTGAACTGAAAATTTCTCTGAAAAATCAAGTATCCGCTGTCTACAGGAGTTGAATTGTGATGAAACTGCTGGAACAACTATCACTATCAAGTCACTGAAAAGCAGCACGGAAGTTTTACAAGCACTTGAAGGTCTGACAGCCAGTGATAACGGGAGGAAACGCAGGCAGGCGGGATCATCTCGGTTTACGTTCGTGTCCGATCAAAGTTCCTGCGAGAGTTCTGGATCGGCACTGAGTGGAGAGTATTGTGGTGAGTAATGGTCTGGATACTGACAATCAACAAATTTCGTTCAGTAATAACTGTTATTTTATATTGTATCGTCATTATAATATCTGAATTTGAAGTTTAAAATTAACCGAGAGGATCAATTACGAATAACTTAACTTATAAGAAACATGTTAAGTTGTAGTTTTTAACAATAATAGAGATTCTCACTATATAATCAATGCACCTTATTTCAGTTGAGTGCTCGGCTGGATACTACTCAAGTAATAACAAGTGTAAGAGATGTGCAGTTGGAGCGTACTCCAACTTACCCGGACAAACGGAGTGTACAGAGTGTACTGGAGATCTGAGCACCTTAGGAGAGGGTGCATCACACTCTTCTGAATGTATTGGTGAGTTAACCAGTGTAGTGGTGAGTTGGTGAGATAGTGAGTTAACCAGTGTAATGGTGAGTGACCGAGTTGGTGAGATAGTGAGTTAACCAGTGTAATGGTGAGTGACTGAGTTGGTGAGATAGTGAGTTAACCAGTGTAGTGGTGACTTACTGAGTTGGTGAGATAGTGAATTAACCAGTGTAATGGTGAGTGACTGAGTTGGTGAGATAGTGAGTTAACCAGTGTAGTGGTGACTTACTGAGTTGGTGAGATAGTGAATTAACCAGTGTAATGGTGAGTGACTGAGTTGGTGAGATAGTGAGTTAACCAGTGTAATGGTGAGTTACTGAGTTGGTAAGATAGTGAGTTAACCAGTGTAGTGGTGAGTAACTGAGTTGGTGATTACTAACACTCCTCCTCCTCCTCACTACTAACACTCCTCCTCCTCCTCCTCACTACTAACACTCCTCCTCCTCCTCACTACTAACACTCCTCCTCCTCCTCCTCACTACTAACACTCCTCCTCCTCCTCCTCCTCCTCCTCCTCACTACTAACACTCCTCCTCCTCACTACTAACACTCCTCCTCCTCCTCACTACTAACACTCCTCCTCCTCCTCACTACTAACACACCTCCCCCTCCTCCTCACTACTAACACTCCTCCTCCTCCTCCTCCTCACTACTAACACTCTTCCTCCTCCTCTCTACTAACACTCCTCCTCCTCCTCCTCACTACTAACACTCCTCCTCTCTACTAACACTCCTCCTCCTCACTACTAACACTCCTCCTCTCTACTAACACTCCTCCTCCTCACTACTAACACTCCTCCTCTCTACTAACACTCCTCCTCCTCCTCCTCACTACTAACACTCCTCCTCCTCCTCCTCACTACTAACACTCCTCCTCCTCACTACTAACACTCCTCCTCTTCACTACTAACACTCCTCCTCCTCACTACTAACACTCCTCCGCTTCACTACTAACACTCCTCCTCCTCCTCACTACTAACACTCCTCCTCCTCCTCCTCACTACTAACACTCCTCCTCCTCACTACTAACACTCCTCCTCCTCCTCCTCACTACTAACACTCCTCCCCTCCTCCTCACTACTAACACTCCTCCTCCTCCTCCTCACTACTAACACTCCTCCTCCTCCTCACTACTAACACTCCTCCTCTTCACTACTAACACTCCTCCTCCTCACTACTAACACTCCTCCTCCTCACTACTAACACTCCTCCTCCTCCTCACTACTAACACTTCCTCCTCCTCCTCACTACTAACACTCCTCCCCTCCTCCTCACTACTAACACTCCTCCTCCTCCTCCTCACTATTAACAATCCTCCTCCTCCTCACTACTAACACTCCTCCTCTTCACTACTAACACTCCTCCTCCTCACTACTAACCACTCATCCTCCTCACTACTAACACTCCTCCTCCTCCTCCCTCACTACTAACACTCCTCCTCCTCCTCCTCCTCACTACTAACACACCTCCTCCTCCTCCCCACTCCTGACCACTCCCTCCTCCTCTCCTCATACTAAACACTCCTCCCCTCCTCCTCACTACTAACACTCATCCTCCTCTCCTCCTCACTACTAACACTCCCTCCTCCTCCTCATACTAACACTCCTCCTCCTCACTCACAAACACCCTCTCCTCCTCACCAACAACATCCTCCTCCTCACTACTAACACTCCTCCTCCTCCTCCTCACTACTAACACTCCTCCCCTCCTCCTCACTACAACACTCCCTCCTCCTCCTCCACACTACCTAACCACTCCTCCTCCTCCTCACTACTAACACTCCTCCTCTTCACTACTACACCTCCTCCTCCTCACTACTAACACTCCTCTCCTCACTACTAACCCATCCTCTCCTCCTCACTACTAACACTCCTCCTCCTCCTCACTACTAACACTCCTCCCCTCCTCCTCACTACTAACACTCCTCCTCCTCCTCCTCACTATTAACACTCCTCCTCCTCCTCACTACTAACACTCCTCCTCTTCACTACTAACACTCCTCCTCCTCACTACTAACACTCCTCCTCCTCACTACTAACACTCCTCCTCCTCCTCCTCACTACTAACACTCCTCCTCCTCCTCCTCCTCACTACTAACACTCCTCCTCCTCCTCCCCACTACTGACACTCCTCCTCCTCCTCCTCACTACTAACACTCCTCCCCTCCTCCTCACTACTAACACTCCTCCTCCTCCTCCTCCTCACTACTAACACTCCTCCTCCTCCTCCTCACTACTAACACTCCTCCTCCTTACTACTAACACTCCTCCTCCTCACTACTAACACTCCTCCTCCTCACTACTAACACTCCTCCTCCTCCTCCTCACTACTAACACTCCTCCTCCTCACTACTAACACTCCTCCTCCTCCTCCTCACTACTAACACTCCTCCTCCTTACTACTAACACTCCTCCTCCTCACTACTAACACACCTCCTCCTCCTCACTACTAACACACTTCCTCCTCCTCCTCACTACTAACACTCCTCCTCCTCACTACTAACACTCCTCCTCCCTATAGAGGTATGCCTGATCCCCGGAGTGAACCAGGGAAGCTCGTACCCTCCTGAGGACTACACAGTTCCTGCTGGAACTACACTCACTCTCACGTGTAATACTGGATATGATCTGGAGTACAACCAGGCTGACGAGATCGAATGTGCTGACGAGCTCCCTAAGTGCTACCGCAGGTAACTTCCTAAGTTCTACCACAGGTAACTTTCCTAAGTGGTACTGTTGATAACTTTCCTTCGTGTCTTGAAAAAAGTGTAGTGTGCAGACACTGACAGCATACAATTTTGAGCAGATGGGATTCTTATCAGCTTGTTCATAAAAAATGCGAATGTGCAGTTTGTAGAATTGATCTTTTGCCGGCGACAAGATTACCAAGGTGACCGTGTTAAGATTTTTTCTACTCATGCTTTCCTTCTGAACACGTTTGTGTAGAATAGAGAAGGAACTTTTGATTATTTGTAAGATAACATAATTAAATTAGATATCAGTACTTTTAATATCACTGAGAAGTATAGGTTTTCTCTCTCAGATGTTCTGTAGAGAGTCCAGAATACGACAACAATGGTCTGAAGAAGGTTGAGATAGGTTCCTCTTTCATTGACAAAGTTCAGCAACCTTCAGCCCTCTGCGGCGGAAGAGATGTCAAATGTACCGGGGTAAATGTTACTACAAACTTTTATTACTTTGACGTTTTACTTTTGAATATAAAAAGCCTTAATAAATATCATAATATTTTATAACAAAGACTTCAGTCCTCCATACTCTCACAGGGAAACAGCCCCTCTATTGTGCACGGGTTCCCAATAAAGGCTGTGTGTGTAGATGTAAAAGCAATGGAGAACGGGAAGACAGAGCAGATTCTCTACTGTCAAGAAAACGTCCTCTTTAGCTTCCCAGACTGCTCTGGTAAGTACACTCTGAGATCATGTCGGGGTGAATTAAACTTAGAAAGTTTGCTTATCTTAGGACGTTGGAATGTGGATATTTTCAACGACATTTGCTTTGTATTATTTTCTGGGATATTAATGCTTTTCTTACAAAGTTACAACAAAGTCTTCATGTCAAATGTAACTAATAATTTATAGTGTTGTAATTAGTTTAAAATTAGAATCATACGTTATGATTCTATACTGTAAAGGCCCGAATGGGCAATTTTAAAATTTTGCATAAATGTTTTTAAAATTAAGACGATTACAGCTGTAACCAAATTATCTACTAGAATGCAAAACGGGGTGCTCTGAAACTCAGTGGCAGTGCAATTCCGACTGTTCCTGTATAGACAATTCAAAGCGGTGCGATGGCGAAGATAACTGCAAAGTCAACTCTAATAAACCTTGGATATCAGACGAGTATGACTGTCCTGTTGATAGTGAGTCTAAAGTTGCAAATAGTGTTTATATTAGTTGCTGCTAAACTTGCTTAAAGGGATGTTTGTTTCATTTGAAAGTTGGAATTAGTCGCACTTTATTTCAAATATCTTTGTTTTTGAAATTTTGTCGTGAAATTAGACGTGTTGCAACAAGGCCTGTTTCCAAGGCGGTTATCATGGGCAATATAACAGCATATTATGCAGCATATGCAGTTTATACGCTTATATATCCCTTACTTATCTGCTTGCTCATGTGAATGCAGGCACTTAAACGTGTCGAACAAACTGACTCAGTACAGGTAGCTTTGGGCAGATTCTCATGAACAATACAACTAAAAACACAGATGATAATTAATGTTAATTGCAATGTTTCAGTAACGGACCCGCAGGATATTTAGTTCGACCACTGCTCTGTAAATAATACGTAAAAATATGTGAATAATAATTAAATAATAAGTGAATAATATGAAACTGTTTCAGTAACGAGCCCGCAGGGTATACAGTTCGACCACTGGCAGCAGGAGGACAGTAGCATTGAGCCGGTTATATTTAACTACAATCAGGAGAAAGATTGGAAACAGTTTGCAACTTGTCTATGGCTGCAGACTTCGTACAAAGGCCCTCAGACAGTCTTTTCTTATGGGTTGGTTAATCATAATCCGCTGAGAATATAAAATCACAGTGGTTTTAGTTAACAGTTTCTTGTTGAACACTTATCGTAAGTCTAAGAGTTAGAGTTATTTGTGCACTCTTATATCGAAAATTGACAAAAAGGGGAACTTTAATTAACTCATTATAAAGCTTCAACAAATCTCCCCTAACAGAGGAAAGATAAGCATGTCAGTCCACGATCAATTGTTGGCGGTTCACTTTAACTTTGACTCCACAATATCCACGTTTTCGAACACTGCCTCGGGTATCTCTGACGGAGACTACCACAGAATCTGTCTGTCTTGGAACAGTATTGGTGGTGTGGTGGATCTCTATTACGGCGATAGTAAGTTTTATCTTCTCTACTCTTTTATCCATTATCTACATTTTAACCCTGTAACTCCCATCCCTCCCCTCTTTATAGCATCTTTTGCATATTATTCGCCAGTCCTTGTATCAAGTCCCTTTCATTTCCCTTTATTCTTAATTCCTTTCTTTTAAAAATATAATACTTTTGGACACGAAAATCTTCGTAAAACTACATCATTAGAGCCTGTAAAAACATTTAACTTTAAGATAAGCACTCTATCAAGGAAAATTCCTTTCTTTTCCTTTTCTGAAAAAAAGTATTTTCCACCAGTGATGCACGCCGGTTCATTTTTCGCCAACCGGCGGCGGCGTGCCCAAAATGGCCCGGCGTGGCGGCGTTCGGCGGCGTGGAACATAATTTTGTTAAAATTTAGGTTTGAATTTCCAGGCCCACAAAAATTGTGGCGTACGTGCGTGCATGAAATAATGATGTAATAAGTGTGGTTTTTACAATTATATTTGGTGGTTTTTACAATTATATTTAAGAAAAATCAAATTCTTAACATTGTCGTTGGACAATTTGGATCTCCTAGAGTTCAAAATCAACCCCGACTGGCTCCATACTCTTTCTATTTCCTTTCACGCCACGCCGACTTGAGAGGTATCGGCGTGGCGGCGTGTGAAAATGTGCCGGCGCGGCGGCGTCCGGCGGCGGCGTGCATCACTGTTTTCCACTGAGAAGTTGTATTTAAATAAGTATGTTGAGAGTGTGAAACATTGCTCATTATAAACCTTATTTCAGGGGACATCATAAATGACGAGGATTTCAAGACATGGTCTGTTTCTGCTAAAACACTGCCCGCGGGAGATGTTGTTAACCTAGCCGTCGGCGGAACTGAGGCGGACAAATCAAACAGCTTCCACGGTTTTATCAAAGATATGGTACGAATTGTTCATTCATAGATATTATCTTGGATGAGGTATCAGACTGTTTATTAAACAATAAACTTTAAACCATATGCCTTTTTGTTATGATGATTTCTGGGACCTCCGAGTTTAACTTTCTTTTTTTTTTCAGTCGGTGATGCAGAAACAGCTTATTAAAGAAGACATCGACAACTTCAGGTACTTAAGTAAAATTAAACTCGCAGGTAATTAGGTGATAATATGTAACTAGGTGATAATATGTAACTAGGTGATAATATGTAACTAGGTGATAATATGTAACTAGGTGATAATATTATGTAACTAGGTGATAATATGTAACTAGGTGATAATATTATGTAACTAGGTGATAATATGTAACTAGGTGATAATATGTAACTAGGTGATAATATGTAACTAGGTGATAATATGTAATTGTAATATGGTTTCTGTCCAGATTAAAATAAACTGCACTCTTTAAGAAACAAAGCGTCAACCGATGATCTTAAAATCCGCGCAACGGTATAGACATTCAAACAATGTTTATAATCCAACATTGCTACAACTTCAGATATTGTAAATTCCCTGCGGAAGACAGCACACGCATCGAATGGTCCAAAATCCTGACTCAGGCCAAGAGTAAAGCCACCAAATACTATATCATGGAGTATAACTACGGAGGCTGCTCCGCTCCAACTTGTGAAAGTAGGATTATACAAGTTATATTACAAGTTTATATTATACAAGTTTGATATGCTCACTTACTCCACAAGCTCTTGCTTCTTGCGAAGATTCAGTGAGTTATGGTAACCAGTAACTCGTCCCTAACTACAGATAATTCCTTCAGCAAGTTGCCCTGTAAACATGTTCACGTGCGGGTCATGCGACTGTGTGTCGCCATGGCAACGATGTGACCTGTTCACCCAGCACTGTATTGACAATTCAGACGAGAATGACTGTAAAAAAACTAACGGCGTTTTCAAGCCTTACAACAATCAACAGGATTACGAAAACAGGTTTTTAAACTGTACTTCAGATATTTCAATGAAAAACACTGCGTGACAGCGCTATGAGATAACAAACGTTGATTTAATTAACTAAAACAATTAATTAAACCAAAATAACAACCAGATGAACAGCTTATTTAACTTTCAGCGGAAGGAAGTGTGTCACGGAGGGAGGCTACCTAGCATCGATTGACAGTGACTTTGAGAATGAACTCAGTGCGAATTCTTTGGAGATTGACGATATCAGGACGGCTTGGATAGGTAAGTTAGTTAGTTTAGAGGCTTTTGATTTGCTTGGATGGGTTATTTCAAATGTTTAAATATTAATTTTATCAAACTTAAAATTGTCTGAATACTCTAATATGTCTCTTTGTTGGGGTTTTAGATTTGTAACTAATGTAATGTAAAGTAATGTGAAGTAATGGTTACTCTCCGTTAGGTACGAGGGTGGTGAAAGGAAAGGCCCTCTCCAACTGGGTTAGCGGGGCCCCCAAGTCCCAGTGGGCTGTGTCCTACTACACGGACACCACCAAGGTGGACAAGTTCGTGGGACTGAAGAACGACAAGAACTGGCTTCCTATCTACGGTCTATTCTCTGATAACCTCCCTTATCTCTGCAGGACTCAGGTTTGCTTTTCAATATTAACTATCAAGGGTTGTAGTTGTAAGTTTATGTGATTTACCGGACTCAGGTCTGTTGCAGATTCCAAACTATTAGGGTTTAATCCTTTACCTGGCAACAGTCCCGCACACATTGGGACGTCCGCTATGTTTCTAGCGGACGTCCCAATGTGTCTCGATATGGGTGCGGTCAAAAAGGGCGTGATTCCGAGAAATGCCCCACTGGTGAAAAAGTGTACCCGAGTAATTAGTGTTATTTAGGACCATATAAGTCGGATTACATCGAGAAACCGAGCGGACGTCCCAATGTGTGCGGGACTGTTACCAGGTACAGGATTAGTTCTAGTTATAATGTTTGTGAGTTTGTGTGATTTACTGCGGAGTTTGGGGAAATGAATCAGTCGTGGTAAACCGGGGTTTGCGGTAAATCCGGATTTTACCGTATAATTTGGGAGGTAGACTATCGGAGCATATAGTATAATATATACATAGTATATATTATACTATATAAATAGTATTTATACTTTACCCTGTATACGTCAGGGTTACCTGATAGCCAAACTGGACGAGAGTCCCCTGTCAGTGGAAGACTGGAGAGCTAAATGTACTGCAGCTAACGACATGACTCACTTCACCCTTGCTGAGGCTCACTATTCTGACAGAGCCGAATCAGTGCTCCAGTCACGGGCTCTTCACAAGAGTGATGGTTGGGAAGGAGTGGCATGGGCCAAGAGTAGATTAACTTGCGATGTGAGTTCTTTTTTAACTGATTTTATGACCACTTTATTGTTTGATCTGGTTGAAAATGTGTCCGAAATTACAACAACTCTTGAACAACTCAGACTATAAATCAAGAGGGGTCTCTCTTCTGAGAGGGGTCTTTCTTCTGAGAAGGGTCTCTCTGGGACTTGTAACCCAAACCCCTCCAGTATATGAGAAGTGATGGTAGTAACCCGGCTGAGTGTGCAACCTACTGGAACATCCCCTCATTCTGCGGGGTGCAGGTGGAACTGGAACAGGTTACCCAAGCTGCTCTGTCTGGGGAACAGGACAGTTACTTCCTGTGGAACAACCCTTGGAATGACAAACTTAGCAGTGGTACTTATCCCTTTATTATTACTTACTTTGCAGTGGTACTTACTTACCTCTTTATTATTGCTTATCGGTGAACCGCGATAAAGGCTAAGGTGATTTGGTTTTATGACTTTTTGTGGATTCTGCAATCCATTTGCGACGCTGAAAATTACATTTTTACTGAAATTATTTTGTAGATGGAACGAGTGAGCTGAGCCTCTGTTTCAACGTAAAGTCAGCGGGTGAAGTGGGTACAGTTTTACGGTACAGTGCTGGATCCTATCAGAACGAGATACTCGTGTTACTCTCCAGCAAATCTAAACATGCGCCTCTAGGTACGATTAACGATACTACTGATCGCAGAATTTAATTTAATTTGGGTTAATTATAATTTCAATTTGACTACATAGATACAATAACCACGCAGTGATGAGGTGATTATTTATGATTGAGTGGTGTCAATGTCCCCCCCCCCCCCCCCCCATGTCAGATAGTGTTTATTTTAACAAGAAAAACACTAGCAGCTAGGCTTTTATTAATTAGAATTAATTGTATACATCAACATAAGGTTAAATGAAGTAGTTACCATCAAAATTCCCAACATTTCTTGAGTAAATCATACATGAATCCCGTAAGGCGTGAGTTTGTAACTTTGTGATTTTTGGTAGGGAGTATTGCACGACTCTCGACGTAAGTAGTTTTGAGGTAGAAAAAAATAAAACAGGGTAAATTACTGATAAACTTGCTTGGAATCTCCTTATCAACTCCTCGTTAACTTGTATTCCTTAACTTTCCTAATAACTCACTATTATAATTATTTCCGGGAATTATATGCACTAAAACTCGTGGACACTGAGAGCTGATAATTTGCAGATTTTTCCCACAAGAGAAGCGAGCGTATTATCAGCACAGAAGCGAGTCACCTCACTGAGGTGACACCTCAAACTGGCTGGCGGGAAGTTTCAAAACAAATAACAGTGGCGCACTATATAATTATATTACACACTATATATTCTATCATGCGCACGTATCACATTACACATGTTCCAAGCGGAATAGTCAATAGTTATAACAAATAATACCTTGGCTTCTTTTCGGACCGCACGTTCCCTCCAGCAAGCTTCGGGAATTATCGCGCGTAGCCCTCAAAAGCCAAGGTATTATTGGATTATAACTCTCTAACAACTGACCAGTATCTCCATAGTAACTCCTTAGCGACTCTCTAGTTATAACTCTAGTAACTTCATAGAAACTCTCTAGTAACTCTAGTAACTTCATAGCAACTCTAGTAAATTCAAAGCAACTCTCTAGTATCTCTCTAGTAACTTTTTAGTTACTAACCAGTTTCTCTCTAGTTACTCCTTTTTACGCCTGATCTCCGTTCGCAGTTGTGCAGCACGCTACAAACGCATTAATCACTTGACCTGCGAAAGCTACTATTGCCAAAAACAGCCATATGTAGGTGGAAGTCATGTCGACACTACCATAGGATGAGCCTTCTATCGCCACAAGGACAAGCAACACAACGAGGATTCCAGTTACTAGTGCTGAAATAGGATTGTTTAGTCATTTATAATCACTTATAATGGGCATGTTCGGCACTTTTGAAAGTACATAGATAGACCAATAATTAATGAGAGTTCAGCTATTAATTGGAAACAGTTAAAAAACAATCCTGCTAAATCAATTAAAATTTTATTAACTGACATGAAATTCCTCCGAGGACGATTGTTGTGATTTTGAGGATGCTGGAATCTGGAATTAAGAAGGATGTTGTAAAAATATAGCTCACAAATTCACGTTATCACTTCCCACTCAATTATAATATAGTAAGTGGACACTGGACACTGTATGGGTTCACATATCTTTACAAACAACTTTACAAATTCTGGGATCAATGTTGCTACTCACTTGTTTTGTACCAAGAACCTTCTCCGCCTGAAAATGTAAACATTGTTAAATAAATGCAAAGAAGACAGTTCTTTCTGCAGATTGTTAACGTTTTTTTTCTTTCTACAGAAATCCCTGCTACTCGCTAGCATTCAAGCATTGAGTACAATCACTATCTCATTTTGCTCCATTACAGCAGTACAATACTGATGTGACTTTGTTTAAAGAAAAGAAAGGGGTAAAAAGGGAAAAAAAATTGGTAATAGAAAACTAACCAGCGAACATCTGAGCCAATCTGAATCCTAGGAGTAGACAGGCCACTAGAGCCATCACCAAGTAAATTATACCGTAAATTCCTGAAAAAGTGAATAATAACATCAAACCTACCTTAGAATACCCAATTTTCAGAACAAAAGGTGTACGGGTAAACCGCCCCTAAAACGTCACCTGTTTTTTGGGCCCAGATTGCCGAGTTAGGGCTAAATTTACAGGGTTCTGAAGTGTCTAGGAATAATATTTAAACCTTTTTCTAGCCTGCCAGGAAGATTTGGAAATTTGAAAATAAATTCAGGTACAATTTTTTTGACGTTGAAATGGAGTCACTTTTAAAACACCACCCCTAAAATGTCAACTCTATATGTGTCATAATTACAAAATGTACAGGAGGCCTGATTTATCTTTTGTCACTAGTATTATTTGTTTTGTCTTATTTAACATTAAGCTACTTGAAAACATTCACTCACTAAAGGAAGTACCTCAAAACCGTAATCACCCCTAAAATGTCACGTGCACCACCCCTAAAACGTCAGCTAAAACAGGTTGTGTAGCACTCAGAATGTTGCTCAATTATTAATTTTAACCACTTCTGGGACAAATATAACCTATTTCTGAGAGGTGTCGACCAGAATTTCTCTCTCTGTTGAAAAAAAATGGTGGAATTTAGTCAATTTACTTTTTGCGACATTTTGGGGACTTTTTTTTTAATACCCAGAACTTACGGCAAAACAGTAACTCAGTCAACAAAATTTACACCTGTAGTTAGATTATCTAGTTATAAACTAACAATTGGCACAAAAGAAATGGATTCAATGTGATTTTAACCTTGTGCAAATTGCATGTTTTAATTGCATTTTTTGGGATTTTTAACATCATCCTGCATTTTGGCAATTTTAGTGACCTGTAGTTAACTAAGCCAACCCAGTAATCGATCTGACCTTCTCTATAGTCTAGATTTGACTGCTTTTAGCAAAATTGAATGTCAAAAATTACGGTTTTTGGTACTTACTGGTTTATGGTAAACCTATGATATGCCCCCTAAAATGTCATTTTTTTCTCCCCTAAAATGTCAAATTTGTATTTTGTTCGCATGGTGTGCGATAATAGCTCTTGTTTTGGCACTTGTTAATTATTAACATCAACTATTAACGAAATGTGAGTATGCATTGCATCTTAGGAAAAGCCTGAGTAATTTGATCAGGTTAAAATGATATTTTAGGGGGGATAATTAGACATTTTAGGGGATGTTTATTGCAATTAATAAAATAAAACTAATTCCTTGAGCTGCCAAAGCTTTCCAATATTACCATTAGATGCTAAATATGATGTTTAATAGGCTGGTACCTCCATTTTATGGTGCTTGTAGTCTCAAAGCCAGAATCTGATAAAATGACATTTTTGGGGGCAGCCAGGTGACATTTTAGGGGAGGGTAGTAATATTGAGTAATGTATAACTTTCCATATCTCCAGTCATATGTACAAAGTTGCTAAAATATGTAAATATCACTATCCTAGACCAAAACCGAGTTAATATTAATGAATTCCAGAGTTATAAAATTGTGCGCTTTTCTTCAAAAGTGAAAAATTCGTACAAAGTGAAAAAAATGCCCTTACGGCATCATTTAGATTCAATTTCAGGATGTGGCAGGGTCTGAATGATATTTTTTATGTTTAGGAGTTACAAATGATTAGGTAAGATACTTTCTAAGAAGATGGGATCCAATCAATCAAGAGTGGCGTTTTAGGGGTGGGTGACATTTTAGGGGCGGTTTACCCGTAATATTTTTATATATAATTTATGGAATCATGCTAAGTTTGTTCAAAAATTGTCTATGATTTATCAGACTTACCCTGTCCACTACTACCAGAGAGTTGAATCATGAGAAATAAAACGAGTTGGGCAAGAGCAGCCGCGCCTATTCCAATCGTTCCAAGAAGTGCCGACATATTTACTGATAGTCTTGATCTATGTTTATCTTGATTTTGGTGTGATAATTCTGTTTAGAAATAGATACTCATGCTCAGTTAAAACACATAAACATTAAATAAACACATGAAATACACAAATAAACCTTATATCGGCCGAATAATATTAATTTGAATTCAATTTTATGGTGGCTATTTCAAATTAAACTTAATCTTATAACTTTATAATCTAATATATTGTATCGAGTCTAAGATAAACGCTAAAACGCACGGTACTAAAAATGGCACGAAATCGAACTTGCTGCCGAACTTACAGTCGAACTTTCTTGCGAATAGCATAAATATGTATAACTTAATAATCTCACTTCTTCAAACGTCTACTTTTAATCTCCCCACCAGACGCGACAGCGATCGTTCGTGACAGACGGTGGCAAGTCTGGTGTTTTAGCCCAAGTTTTGCATTGTTCTCCGCATGTGAGCCCTTGTTTTGCTTTGTTTGTCCAGAAGCCCGTATTGTTTAGCTATTTTGAACCAATTAATTGATTCTTGATAGAGCTCGTCCGTTCTGTTGTCTCATTGATATTTAAAGTAAACTTATTCAGATACTGCACTCCGATTGGTGGAACTTTTCTACGGGTGGCGCGTCTGGTAACCATGGCATCACCCTATTGTCTAGTCTCCGCACGACAATTAGGTTTATAATTTAACGTCATTAACTTCAGTCTCTGATTTGAGAAGTTTGGGGAGAATTGTAGACTGTCCAGCATTCAGTCCAGGATAATCTATTGTTCCCACACGTGTGGGGATTCTAGGCTCGAACTATGACACGTGAGATGTGATAGTAAAGATTAGTCTGGAAAATCACAGCCGCCGTTATTATTAGGTTTTGCGATAAGTGCAATCTTTTCTTCAATTATGTGAGGGTGAGGGTGAGGGTGAGGGTGAGGGTGAGGGTGAGGGTGAGGGTGAGGGTGAGGGTGAGGGTGAGGGTGAGGGTGAGGGTGAGGGTGAGGGTGAGGGTGAGGGTGAGGGTGAGGGTGAGGGTGAGGGTGAGGGTGAGGGTGAGGGTGAGGGTGAGGGTGAGGGTGAGGGTGAGGGTGAGGGTGAGAGTGAGATAGTCAACTGGGAAATTATTTTGTACATTACCAATTACAATATCATAGAAAACTGATTAACTTGGTTGAGTTGCAGGTACTATAAAGTGAAGGAAATGTTACATTTATTTTACAAGAAAGACACTAGC